CGTGAACGGCAAAATGGAGCCTAATTATAATCATGTTTTCTTTATTTTGTTCCTTTTTTTTTTCTTTTACGTGTGGGGGGTAGTAGTGATGTGATTTAGGTTTTGTTCTTTATTGGTTTAGAGCAGATTGATGTTGATTTCGTGGGGATGTGGAAGGGTGTTGTTGGGAATTAATCTTTTGAACATAGCAAATTCAATCCGAGCCTAATTAATTCTTCTTACGAAAGAATTTTAGCCAACTACAACTACAATAATCTACAATAATAAAGAGAATATGGGGAAATTGAGAATATAGGAAAAGTAGAGTAAAGTAAGAAAGACCCCCAACTATGGTTTCTACGTTCAGTCTGAATATAATGGACGTTGTATATAATGGTAATATAACTCTCTCAACAACATTGATTTTGAGATAAATATAATGGTAATATAATTCTCTCAAATCCAAATACTTCACTGTGAAATAAATAGAATGGATTCCATGGTAACACAGCCATTTTAAATCTAGAGGTTTAGATAAATATAATAAAGTAATTACTCTTTCAACAAAAGTTTCCTAACTTGGAGCTACAATAATAAATCTTGATTGAAAAATTTTAGTACCCACAAGAACTGCAACATCGATATCGACTCTGTATTTAGTGATGTCGACTCTGTATTCCTATCAAATATTACTGCCATTGTTGTTGCTCTTACTATGATGTAACAACACCAATACTAGCTACAACACCGATAAATGATTTTAGGCTTCAATCCTTTCAATTTGTGGCACAAACGTCTAAAACGAAAACAATAACAATGATCCCTTCAATAAAATGTGGTACCGTTGAGAAGCTGCTATTGGTGCCTCAATGATACGACCAGAAGCATTAAAACACAAAACATGTGCTTTTATTTATTTATTTTTTGTGATAGCATGGTGTTGCACTCTCACCTAGATGGTCTTCTATGGTAGCTCTTTACCTGTTTTTCATTCTTCTTTATTCTTGCCTTGTCTCGACTCGCCTTGACTCTTTCCGACATCGTCAATTTGGTTCCACCAATCCCAACAATCTCCCACTTGGAGACAAAACGACAATCTTGTCTCCCACTGCAACAACCGTATCCCTCATCTTAGCAAATCACTAAGGCTTCATTCTGACTCCACCAACGTCTTCTAATTGATTAACATCTTCATGACATCAACCAAGGCTCAACTTCCACTACCCATCTGTGATTGCCTTGAGACTGAACAATCCTACGTGGTCTCATCTTCCAGGCATAAGAGACACAGCCACGTGCTCCCACTTGAATTAAGTGGTCCCCAATGCTTTCATTCTTCAATCGCACCCAATGACTCCTAAAGGAAAGCTTCTCTCACTGATCACTTGGCCATCCCAACCAAGTCTGTTACCAAGCTAAATACTTCATCCTTGATTTTAGTGCCAACTGTAGTTCCTCTCCTCAATGCACTCTTTCGCCTACATGACGTCATCAGCTCGCTAACCCATCTTACAATTGGGGCTAAAATCCGATAATCTACTGAATAACTCACCAAGTTATTATTCTTTTCCTTTCCTCTACTTTCTAGTTGTTAAACCTGAACTGATGGTAGATTCTCCTCATCTATCATGACTGTCAATGCTGCTAGTTCTATCAACTCTTTCCCTAAACCATCTGCAGTCATGTGCATAACATGTCTCTCTGATCTTTTAACAATGTCAAACCTCAACACATATATTGAAGCTTCTCTGTGGCCTACAACCACTATCTAGCTCGGATCCCCTCATGAGTTTCTACCTATTTTCTACAAACTTACTTCTATAGCCTTCGTCATCCAACTTCTCTGCACATATCAAATTCATTATGAAAATGGGTATATATCTGACATCACACAAAACTAATTAACTCGATCCCACTGTTAGTCCGCAGACGAACATCTCAAATTCCTCTGGTCTTGGAAATTTTACCATTTCTCATTCTCAACATGTCATGATTCCTTGTAGTGAAGGACGTGAACCAACTCCTTTCTGAAGATACATGCACCAATAATTCACTGTCCACTACTCATTCTGATGACAGGTCTATAGGTATCGTGTCACTCTCAACGCATGCCAAAAACATATCATCTGACACCACGTTTGTCTGTTCTTCTTATTCCTGGTCCTCCTTAAGCTTCTTGTAGTGTTTCTTGAAGTGACTCTTCTTACGGTAGTAAAAACATTCAATCTCGCCACTCCCACTCTTGTAGTTGTCTCTACTGTTTCCCTTAATTCATCTTCCCTTTACCTTTACTCTAAACTGTCAAAACTGACTCCATAGAGTTCTCTCCACCAGAAGTGGATGCGGAATTCTTCATTTCTTGTGAATCTTCTCAACAATTGCAGCATCACAGATTTCTGGAAACTCCAAATTTCAATTTCACAACAAATACGACACAGTCGTTTTCATTGTTTCCCAACTATCCAGCAAAGAAAGACAGCAGGTTTATAGCTTTCACTTCCTCTGAAAAAGAGATCTCCATCGACTCCAACTAATTCATTAGTTTAGTCATCTTGTTTATGTTGGAGCTCACCGACGTGTCTTCCTTCATATGAATGTTGAAGTATCTCGTGATGAGATACACCTCGCTGTTGGCAGAGGGTTTTTCATATCTGTCCATTAGCACCTTTTCGTATCTATCCGTCAGCGCCTTCATCAGTTCTATCGTCGTCATTTCATTCGCCACGAGACTTGCCACGTTCATCAACAAGCACAACCTGGTGATTTTTTACGGCATGTTCATCCATCTCCGTCCATTCCTTATCTGATCTTTTAGAGTTTTGTGCATCTTCTTATACGTGAGAAGATCATTCACTTGCATATTCCAAAACCCGAAATTCTCCTCGTCAAATCTCAAAATCCCTTTGATGTTGGACTTTCCATTGGATCTCATGACTCTGAACCTACGCTCTTATACCCTTGTTGGGAAAATTGCTTATCAAGAACTTTTTCCCTTCAACAGTTCGTTAGTGAAGAAACTAAGCCAACCACAATAATAAGAGAATATAAGGAAAACACATTAAATGACACAAGCAATTTATACTGGTCCACCCAACTGTGGGCTATGTCCAGTGTTCCGCGACAACGAGTTTTACTACAACAATACAATCTTAGGAAAAAACAAGAATGAAAAACCTCACTAAATACCCACGAGAACTGGTTGCCGATGATGCACAACAATAGCGGGTCACCTCTATATCTCTACCAAATATCACTGCCACTATCGCTGCTCACTTTGATGCAACACCACCAAAAGAAATGATTTTTTTCAATTTGTGACACCAACCTAAAACAATCCGCTAAATAAAGCATGATCGCATTAAGACACAGCCCTTGGCATCTCAACACTACGACCAAAGGCATTAAAACACAAAACACGTGCAGGCATTAAAACACAAAACACGTGCTATTTTTTTTTCACGACAATGCCACGACGCTACATCCTCGACTAGATGGCCTTATGCACCAACCCTTCACCTATTTTTCATCCTTCTTCATTCTTGCCTCGTCCTGACTCGTTCCAACATCGATTTGACTCCATCAATCCCAACATTAAAACTAATTCATCATCGTCCAAAACTATCGGTTCTATTATGAGATTACAATAGAAAAACAAAAAGAATAAAACGATCCTGCAATTTCAATCCCATTGCTTTTTCTTGATAATATTGGGTGGAAATTCAAAATACAATACACAGAACAAGTACCT